GCACAAAGTAAATGTCAAATAGCAGTTAATATAAAAAGTATAGTACTTACTGCTATAATCACCATATCCATAGTAGTTGTTGTAACCAGTGTAGTCATATCCTCCATAACCACCGTAACCTTGGCTGTTATATCCATAGTTGCCATAGCCTTGATTCCAATAGTTACTATATCCCTGGTTCCAGTTTTGACTGGGGCCTGCAGCACATTAATAGGTTCACTAAAGTCAGATCAGCAAAGATCTTTACTTCAGGATAAGTAAAAGCAGAAAAGCTTAAGACAGAGTAAACTTAGGCTATAGCTTACCACCACCTCTTCCACGAGCTCTTCCTGCAAACCCTCCTCTAGATCCCCACTGCTGCTGTTGCTGATACTGTTCCTTCGACATGGCTACTTTTATTTCACACTAAAAAAAGAGAAAAAATAAAATTATTATATTGACTCAAGAAAATGACTGTAATCATCAGAACAGCTAATACTGTTTAAATTAAGCTGCATAACCTCGTCCGTCCTTCCACCCCAGTTTTCAGTTACTCCTTGTAACTCGGGAGGGGGCACCCTCGCTTCTGATGTGATTGATCAAAGACATGCTTGCTAAAAATCTACTACTTGTTCTGTTAGGTCCTAAAAATTTGGTAAAAGTTTATATAAAATACATTTTAATGCTGGTGGTGACACATGCCTTTAACCCCAGCAGATGGGAGGCAAAGGCAGGCAGATCTCAAGAGTTCAAGGCCACCTTGGTCTACAGAGCCAGGGATCTGTGTATACAAAAACAGCCTCAAAAAAACCAAAATAAATAAATAATAAAAATACATTTAACAAACAAATTCCTGCTGCTCACCAATGAAAGCAAAGAGTTCACTGGTGACTTCAGCTAGTAGACTGTAAGTACAAGCAAGCAATTTGGATCCGACAGCCCAACATTGCACCACAAGTTTTCTGAGCCACTCACTCAATAACTGAACTTACTTTACTAAGACCAACATTGTGGTATTTCTTTTCCATTATCTTCTTCACTGGTTCCTCTTCCTTAAAGGTAATAAAACAGAACCCACGCCTCTTATTGGTCTTGTTGTCCATGGGGAGCTCTATGGATTCCACCTGATAGCAGGAATAAAAAAGAAGACTTAGTATTCTAGTTTGTGCTCTATTGTTACTAATAACAAATTTACACAGGAGGAGGAGGGTGGCAAATAAAACACATTTCACTCAAGCTTTATTCTGCTGTCTCCCCATTTTTCTAATCTTTCTACCTAACTCAAAGATCATAAATGCAGAGCCCCACAAGAACAAAATGAGACAATAGCCACCTTGAAAAAAACAAGAGGGAATCTGCATTTGAGAAAAAGATATGATGTAGTAACAGGACTACAAACTGGAGACACAGTGGCTGCAGCAGCTCCACTTTTGCTTGCTCCTATAATCGCATAAGAAAACCTATATACCCAGGCTTTTCATGTGTAATACTTAGGAGTATTAGGCATTCTATTTTTAAGCCCTAACACAAAAGCATGTATTCTTATTTGAATTGAGTAAGAGATGTCAGCATGTTGTCCTTGGAGACCAAGGCCACAAACATCTTGGCTTAGCTTTGATTATTAATTCATGAAAGGAACTGATAGTTCACTATTTCAGTACGTCTACAGCCTCACTAAATTGGCACTTATACATATTTAAATTGGTAAGTTACTACACTACTCTGTTGTTATTTCTTTACTATTCTTAAATGTTTCCTTTTTATATTTCAGGTAACTCAATCTTGACTTCCTCCTCATACTGCCTGTACTTTTCTTCCTTCTAAATGTTCTAAGTTAAGCATGCTGTACAACCCAGACACAATGGATCATTCCTGTAGTTTATGTGGGACAGAGGCAGGAAGGTGTCTTAAATTAAGGAGTTCAAAGAGAATAAGAAAGAAAAAGTTCCAAGGACTGCCTGGGTTTCCTAACAGACCCACCATCTAAGTGTCCAGTACATTACATATGCACATGCTCAACAAAAAAAAAAAAAGTTCCCTAATCTTCTGATCTGCTCATTCAATTTCCTTATTACAAATTTTTGCAATTCTGAAAAACACAGTGGCCAAGTCCACTTAATGTACAATTACACATTAATTTTTGACATAAACACACATACCTCACCAAAACCACCAAAATACTCTCTTATTTTCTCTTCTGGTGTATCTGGAGAAAGGCCACCAACAAAAATTTTTTTGACGGGCTCTTTTGTTTTCATGGCTTTGGCCCTTTTAGGATCAATGACTTTCCCATTCAATTTATGTTCTTTCTGATCCATGACCTAAGAAAATTAAGTTTTTCACTTTAATATGTAAAACTTAAATGTACAGAAATAAACTACTTCAGCTAATACAGACTAGGGCCCAAGTATAAAAGTCACTAAGAATGATGGAGAGGAAGTATCACACCAGTTGAATTGATTACTAGGTAACCATCACCTTTAACTGATAAACAATGGTTGCTAATGACTTAAATTAAAAAGTTGATTGTTGTATAGATATCTGCCGGTGTGAGGGAACTACTCTATTCAGAGACTTGAGTGAGACAAATTGCTTGTCTAACAAAAATGTAAAACAGGCACTTTCTGCCAACTTGTCATACTTTATCTTTTTAATTAGACTTTTAAAATTCCCCACTACCTTCTTGAAAATGTCTGCTGGGACTGAACATACACCATGTGCTTATTACGCCTCAGTCCTTTTTAAAAATCACTTTTAATTTAGAAAGGCTGGCACATGGAAAGTATTCAGTAAATAATTCCCAAATCCTCCTCTCCCTTCAAACACAGGGTGTGTTAATGAACCTCCGCTGTCCCAGCATGTGGACAGCAGAGGACAGGAAATTCAAGTAATACAGCCTGGGTCCAGTCCAAGCAAGACACATGTAACCTTGTTTCAAACAAGGAAAGAATGTAAGAAACGTGTCTCATCTTTCTCATGAAAAGAACCCACAAGTAACATACAAGTTTACTCTATCAAATTCTCCATGTTTCATTAATCAGAACATATAACACACTACCTTATCTACACTCTCCGACTCTTTAAATAGCACAAAGCCAAAACCCCTTGATCGCCCTGTGATAGGATCTAACTTCAGAGTGCAGTCTACAACTTCACCAAATTTGGAAAAGTAGTCCTTCAGATCTTTCTTTGTAGTGTCCCAGCTAAGGCCTCCTATAAACATTTTCCTGTAAAGACAAAAAGCAGTATTAAAATGCTAAGAAAATTAAACCTTGCCCTGTATTTACTCACATCAATAACCCACCCTTTTCAAACTACATTTATTCAGTACAATAAAATATTATTCTTCCTACACAAAAACACATATCAAAAAACACTACTGTTTAAAGTTCCACTTAACATTGCCCCTTCTGATCAACCACAATACTAAGCAAGAAGCTAATTGCTGGTATTTACATACATATGCATATATACATACACATATATATGCATGCATGCCAAATAAAAGTATTAGTTTTTTAAAGGTAAAATCCTGGCTTCTAGATCTTAACAAATCTTCATTAACCATGTCAACGGCTATGCTGCAATCTCCAGTGTGGCAGCCCCCAGCACACTGTCTATGCTGAGACTCCTTTTCTACTTTTTAATAGTTCTCCCATCTACAGAACTCTTAGAACATAAAATGGAAAAATGCTAAGCCCTCCAAACTGAACTAACCTTTTTCACTTCTGAGAGTCCTTAAAAAGAAACAAAGTAATCATGTAAACTGCATGGAGAAAGAATTACCCACTGAATCATATCTCACTAACTTAGATGATTTATTTACTTACAGTAAAACCTCAGCTAACAAGTTATGAAATGCTTAGGCCTATAAAATGGTAAATGGAAAACACCCAAGAAAAGGCCATATAGAGAACAAATTAAGTCTCAACATACAGTAAAATGCCAAAAAGCAGTTCTGGCAGCAGTTGAGATCCTTTCTACATCTGCTTGTTTTACCAATAAGTTAACAGCAGTAATTATAAAAGCACATCTGTACCTTTTACCCTTTAAGAGTCAAACTAAAAACATAAGTTGTCAAAATTAGCCCTATAAGGCTAAAATTTTCACTTCAGAGATAAAACCATGCTTGCTCAAGATGTTCTCACCTTCATAACTTGGGGGGGGGGTCATGAAAAGGGATGGGGAAGATAAGGCACCAGCTCTCAGCTCTGCAAACAGTAAACATCTCCCCACTTTGACCTTTAACAGGCTGCCACTACAGCCCACTGGGCAGTAAGATGCTCATCAATCTCTTTATCTTCACCTCTAAGGCATCCAGTTAACTGAAATGTTATCATTCTTACCACAAGTTTGTTTGAATTAATGCTAATACCAAAGCTAACTTAGTACAAATAAACTTACTTCAGGTGACATTCAACTCTTTCCATTTAAAGTTAGGTTTTCAACCTGAACATATTACAGAACGGGCCCCAATTTTCAAGACTCTTTTAGGCCTAAAGTAAGACTTATAATCATTTAGTAATGTTATAATCAAATGAATATAACCAAAGTCCATTATGTACTTTTAAAGTCTGTTTATTGCCAATTCCATGGAAAATTTAAAACTTCTCAATACATGTTTCTTTCAACTCCTAATATATAACCCTTATTTAATAACCACTGCTATATACACAGTATTTTTTACCTACAGGACCAGAATACAACTTTCATAAGTGAAAATTCATTACCAACATACACCTTTCAAAGTGAGGCAGATGCTAGTTTTTAAAGACAAGGATATTAACTACAAAGCAATGGTCTCTTGCTTAGATACTATTAAGTTCTACAACAGAAACAAATTCAGCTAAATTTAACTACCTAGTAACCATTTCTGTTATTACAGAATTTCCACATAAATAACTGAATAATTTAGAATTATTTTGGTCTAACTAAACTGACATCCTAATAAAAGACGGTGTATAGGGTAAACCTGAAAACCAAGAAAAGTCTGTCTAGTCCATTACCCAACTACCAGGGACAGAATTTGTTTTTATTTCATGAAAGCAATGTATGGGGGAAAGTCCTCAATTTAAAATTGTTATATATACTTCCGAATAAAAATAACACAGAGGATTGCAGAGATGGCTCAGCAGTTAAGAGCTCTTCCAGAGGACCCGGGTTCAATTCCCAGCACACACTTGACAAGCTCAGAGCTATCTCTAGCTCCAGTTCCAGGAGATTCGACACCCTCACGTAGAATATAAACAGGCAAAACACAGCGCACGCTAAATAAACAAATCTTCAAAAAGAAATCACACACAGAATGAGGTGTCTACTATTTTCAAACGACATAACTGCTGTTTAGATAGGAAGTTAATTTTCTAAATATTAGATATGTATACCAAGTCACCAACTGACCCAATAGCCTAATGGAAGTGCACTCTTAATGAACAAAAACCTTCACACTCTTAATAGAGCTAAAACTGTTCACTGCAAACACATTCTATAAACAAACCTACTTTATCCAGAATATTAAATATTCTGGTCATCTTTTAACTTTTTATACATTACATAGTATTACCTTTTTCTCCAAGTACTGTTTGTCCTCCCTAGTCCTGCAACTGTTTTCTATCTCCAACTATTTTAAATGAAATGTTTTAAGACTATTTGTGACGAGGTCTTACACTACAACTCAAGCTAACTTTAATTGATGCCAATTCTCCAGCCTCCAAATCTAGTGGAGCTCCCACAGTTGGCTCCAAGGAATGAGTCTTCAACACAGCAGTCGTGATTTAACAGCCTATGGACCGACCATCTCTCTTAAACTACCGTAGTATGTTCATTTTATCTGAAGCAAGCTACTAATACATCAGGTGCATCTCACTTGCTTAGCTTTTAGAACACATTTTCTTTCGGTTTTGCCAGCAAGCAATTACTTGTTCTATAATGACTATTAATCTCCCTTTCAAGCTACAAGAGACCAGGTAACATGTTTCCAAATCTTCTGTGAAATTTAACATCTTTTGAACTAAAGCTTAAAATTAGTATTTTGGTAGTACAATAACCAGAAAAGCCAATACATTGCAACAAACATTGTATGCTACCTTTACTAGATGGGAGTATGAAGTCCACCCTATTTTTATTCTGTAGGCACAAGGTTTAACTATATAGTATGCAGCCTAGCGGGAGAATGTCTGCTAAACTTTATGGACAAATAGGCACCTATTATAAACTCTCTACAACACCAGCATGAACTTCCTCTTATTCTGAGATGGCTTGAGATTAACACTAATTTGGACTACTTTATACAGTCATTATCTTGTTTAAAGCACAATACTTATTGTCTGTCCAATAGGGATGGAGCCCGAAATCAAAGGTTTATTCTCAAATTGCTATTAACTCCTCAGACATAAACACCTTTTAGTAAGGGGACAGAACTTAATATCAAGAGAACTGTCAAAGTAGCAACAAACTGTCTCCTAAAGCTATAATCTAAATTTAAAATGTGTTCCTTAGCTGTAAGTGAACCAACAATCCCAATTAAAGAATTTACCCTACAAAGGTCATCTGTCCCCTCCCTCTACTCCATTTTTTTTAGGTCTCATGTAATCCTACCTGATGGCAAACTTGTAGCAAATCTTCCTGCCTTAGCCCCCCCAGTGCTGAGTACTGGGATAATAGATGCACCACCATGCCTGACTGACAAAGTTTAATTTCTTAATTCCACTTATAAACAAAGTATTTCAATAGCCCAAAGAAAATACAGACTCAATAATGTGTTTTCACAGTTACTGATAAGAAAGTCAGTGTTGGGGCTGGAGAGATGGCTCAGTGGTTAAGAGCACTGCCTGCTCTTCTAAAGGTCCTGAGTTCAATTCCCAGCAACCACATGGTGGCTCACAACCATCTGTAATGAGATTTGGTGCCCTCTTCTGGCCTGCAGGAATACATGAGGCAGAATACTGTATACATAATAAATAAATAAGATTTAAAAAAAAAAAGTCAGTGTCAAGCATAGTTACAAAACTTAGTATTGATGACTAACTACCCAAATGCTGATTCTCAGCTCTGCAGGGTCACTCAGAAATTTAGACTCCTTTGTGGAACATCTTATTCCTTTTTAATGCAAGATTAGAGATAGGGGACCAACTGCCAGTTTTTATATGCTAGTTCTACCAACTATACAGCCCTAAAGGAGGTTAAAATGATAACGGTCACCTGCAGTCAGGAATAAAAATTGCCTTAATTTAGAGGAATGTATTTTAATTCAAGAATATTTTTAGAGGCAAAACACAATCTAAATAAAGTTTCTTGTTTTCATTTTCTTTTTTAATAATTTGTTTACTTTACTTTTATTTCCTTTGTATTGGTATTTTGCCTGCACGTATGCTCTGTGTGAGGTTGTCAAATCTTGGAGTTACAGACAGTTGTGAACCGCCATGTGGTCAATGGGAATTGAACCTGGGTCCTCTGAACCACTGAGTCAGCTCCCCAACTCATTTGCTTTCATTTTCAAGTGGAGAGGCTTTATAAATTCTAACATTAAAGGGGAAAACATCCAGGATAAAAGTTTTCCGTAAGATCATGTTTGTTCAATGCTCAAGCTCTAAAATACCCTATAGAAGACTGAAATACCCAGGTTAAGAAATTACGTCACTTTCCTTTAAGAAAAATTCTGAGCCAAGTGGTGGTGTTGCACATCTTTAATCTCAACACTCAGGGAGGCAGAGGCAGGCAGGTGTCAGAGTTTAAGGCCAGCCTAACCTACAGAGAGAGTTCCAGAACAGGCTCCAAAACTATACAGAGAAACCCTGCCTCAAAAAACAAAACAAAATGAAACAAAAAATCCAGAAAGTGTTAATGTCTCTGTGTTCTGTGCATGTGACTGCAGGTGCACCGGAAGCTGGAGTTACAAGGAGCCATGAACACCTGACTTGGTTGGATCCTCTGGTAGAATAAACCTCTATAAATGTAGCTTCTAAAGTCCTCTCAGTAACTCTACCTACATATATGCCAGTGTTTTTTTTTAAGTAATTAAAAGCATAAGAAGCAATACCTAGCAAGCAGTGATGGCTGATAGAAAATGCCTTAATAATTCTAATTACGAAGAACTATAATCCTAGCATTTAAGAAACTGAGGCAGAAGGATCAATAAACTGAGCTATTTGACTGTCTTAAAAAACAAAAGCCACTAGAAAAACTCTCACCAGGTACTGAGAGATGGCTCAGAGGTTAAGAGCACTGA